TATATTTTGTCTGTCCATAACCAGGTTCCTTGGATTTTGTGTTGTATTGTCCTGTTTGGTTGGCTTATAAGAAATAATCATGCCCAAGGTCAAGTTGCGATATAAAAGGCTATTAGAGATGAACACTGTTATATACTACTCTAGGGAAGTTCAATAACCCCTTATTCTTTCATATCACTATGGTTAATCTGACCCGTGATGATCCGGGGTAGAATAGGTCTTCAGGAACCCATGCTTGTCGTAAAAGGAGACAATGCTTGTCGTGAAAGGCGACTAACGGGATCGGGTAGTCAGGCTCGCTGACTTGGTTGATGCATGTCATCGATCCAAATGGATGCTCATGATATCAATCACTGGATTGTCTGGTCTAGACTCGATTATTTACAGACCGCCGTCATATAGCTGGAATATTGCTGAGTGCGGCGTTAAACAACAAACCAACCAACCAACCAACTATGGTTAATCTGTATTGACAGATTAACAATAGTAATATGAAAAAAGTAGGTGTTTTTGTAACTTCTATTGAGTCATATAATGAAGGTAATGTATTCTGCAACTCAACATATCAATACAGAACCAAACGATATGGCTGAAATATTGCCGATGTGACTTAAAATTTAACTCACTCACTCACAGAACCAAACCGGTCCTATCACCAGAATCCGTACAAAACTGATTCGTCTTTTTCTCAAATACAAACTATCTAGAAATAAAAATTGAAAGTACTTCTCTGTTACAATTACACAATTACACAGAAAGCAATACAGGTGAAGTGCAATGTTATGGACATACACTACTGGGTTTATTCGCAGGACGGTGACCAACTGAATTTTCACTGATAGGCACGTCGTGTAATTTTTTTGTCAAAATCAGTCATGCAGGTGTTTTGCTTAATCCAGATTAATCGCCAAAGCAAAGAGTAAATTTTTAAGGGTTACCAAATTAGATGTTTTATAACATACCACACACGAGTTTATACGTTTTGGTACATTCATTATTTCATTTTATTTATTGCAAAATACATGGGACAAATACACACAGTAAAATAAGTGTTCATTTATACATTCACATTTTAAAAAAACAGGAGGCACTGTCGGAATAATACATGGTATCGATGTCATGGCCTTCCAATCTCGTCTTCAAGGCATCAAGATTCCGCCGAATATCTTGATATTTTTTCTTCGTCGGTGACAAGCTCTGACCAGCAATGAACTGTCCTTGTTTCAATTAGGTTGTTTTCAGCTCTGCCAGGAGCAAAAATGAACTCGAAGAGAGACGGACAGACAATAGTATATTAATGTTTCACTTCTGTACATACATAAAACATTGATAGAATGTACAGAACCATTCAATCAAATTATTTGATATTCGTACAGATATGCTATAAGGATGATATAGTAAAACGGTGGCGGACGGGTAGCCTGGTGCTTAAAGCGTTCGCTCGTCACGCCGAAGACCCGGGTTCGATTCCCGACATGGGTACAATGTATGAACCCCATTTCTGGTGTCCCCCGCCTTGATATTGCTGGAATATTACTAAAAGCGGCGTAAAACCTTACTCACTCACTCACTATAGTAAAACGTTATTCATATAACCGATGCTTTCTTCGATTAAGAACTAAAAAGCAGTCTTTGGCAAGTATAAAACACACACTGGCATCACTGAATATAGAACAAAGTTTGTCGATATCAGTTTTATCTAAAAGATTCTGAGACTTATCAATTAATTCTCCGCCGTGATATTGCTGGAATATTGCTTAAAGCGGCGTAAAACCATACTCACTCACTCACTATCAATTAATTCATTAAAAAGAGTTGCCCTGATATTGTCATATAATACGCAGTGAAACAAAACATGAACCTCGTCTCCTACGCTGTCATTACAGTGAAAACATTTCTATTTTAGTCAGGTATACCTTCATACCGATTGTGTGATGGGCATTGTCTCCAGGTGACCATGACGTCCCCCAGGGAAGTTCCTTGTCCTGGGTCTGTCAGTATCGTAGTGATTCCATTGGTGTTTCTGGAAGTCACCGTCGAACCATGTGTTGTTCATGCCATCTTGTGGCATGTCCTCAAACGTACTTTTAGGATCGAGTGAGTGAGTTGGGTTTCAGGCCGCTTTTAACAGTATTCCAGTACTATCACGGCGTGTCAGCTTAATGTGGGAGAAAAGCCCGAAGTGATGCAGGTCTCAGACGTTTCCAACTTCGGTGAAACCCACGAGCAGGGGATTGGTGCTGACAAACCTAGAAACATAATCGGAGCGAACCGGGAGTCGAACCCACAATCATAGGTTTCTGGCATGCCCAAGGGACGCAACTCTGCACCGCGAATCGCGGTGACTTGGTCACCCGTGCCCCCCAAACGTACTAGTAGGAGTGAATCGAAGAATGCGTTGGTTGTCTTGGGCAATGATCCATCGCTCACTACATAAATATGAAACATCGCTCATTACAATATAGTAGACCAACCAATGCTCATGGTTACTGGATTGTCTGGTCCAAACTCGATTATTTACAGACCACCGTCATATAGCTGGAATATTGCTGAGTGCGGTGTTAAACACTTGATGATGATGATGATGATGATGAAGACCCGGGTCCGATTCCCGACACGGGTACAATGTGTGAAGCCCTTTTCTGGTGCCCCCCGCCGTGATATTGCTGGAATATTGCTAAAAGCGGCGTAAAATCAAACTCACTCACTAACTTTTTCTCAGTGGCAGTCTCCGACCAAGTGCCAACTGACTGGCGGCCATTTCACCATGAAACTGTTCGAGAGGTACCGGGATCGTTACTAGGATTCTCCACCACTTATTAAATAGCGAGAGTTGGGGAATCAGCTCGCTTAGCAGAGGTACTTAAAACAACCAATCCACACAACACAGCCACTCTGTCGTCCATATTTATAACTATTTAGCTACTACGGATAATTTCGTTTACAGAATAAACTGACCATAATGTTTTTCGTGTGAACTTTACTGGCACTATCTCGACAGAATTATGTAATTCAATTTGAAGCATTGATGATAAATAGAGGATATTCCATGTGTCATTAAATATCATGTTTCTCTCATCGAGTGACTCGGAGAAGGAGAAAGCGTAGCCATTCGTGAAAATATCTCCTTTTCCCCGCAACGAGATGAGAGAAGCAAGATATTTCACGAGACACATTGAATATCCTATTTAATATATACTTTTTTGTGTCGTTGTCTACCGGAAAATCAAATTATTTCATTACAAATGTAAAACCTTTAAACGTAAATTCTCGTTACCTAACACACAGGGACGGTTCACCACCCATTGTATTTGCGACTTTTGCGAGTAGTTTCATGTTTGCAAAATCTTAAAAAATATAACCAAAAGTATCAAAAAGTATTTAGCGTCACTTAAATTCCTTATCATACATTCAGATATGATTATATACAAAATCACCCAAACAAAAAATATTATTTAAAACTACGAGACCTGGTGGAGGCGAAGGAATACACGCTGTTTAAGCAACAAAAATGGCGCTTTGCGGAACTAACAGTCTCGATTGAGGAGTTAAATGAGAAATTTACAGTTTATTATGAAACATTATCAAGAGACAAACACACGGTAAGAAGCGATATTAACTTCTTAATTTACTATCTGTCATTATTTTGCTCTGTGGAATTACCGTAAAAAGGATGTCAACAGTTTGTGTACGGGCTAGATACTTACTATAAAGGGAGACAATTTGAGGGGAGGTAACTCTTGTACAGTTCCGTCGAGTCGGATTATGTCCGATGTGCGTTATCGATTTGACCATTTGCAGGTTAAAGATACTGGAACATGGTCTGTTTTTTTGTAATATGCCCTTATTTTACAATTTCCAATTCTTAATATGTGGCATGTAACATGATAAAATATTTGGAAAACTTTGTCCATGTTCCCCAAAGTTAATAGTATTCTTTATACTGTAAGTAACCTTGAGTGAGTGAGTGAGTTTGGTTTAACACCGCTTTGAACAGTATTCCAGTTATATCACGGCGTGTCAGCTTAATATGGGAGGAAAGCCCGAAGTGATGCAGGTCTCAGACGTTTACCACTTCGGTGAAACCCACGAGCACGGGTATGGTGCCTACAAACCTAGAAACATAATCGGGGCGAACCGGGATTCGAACCCACAATCATAGGTTTCTGGCATGCCCAAAGGACGCAACTCTGCACAGCGAATCGCGGTGCCTTAGACGACTGGGCCACCGTGCCCCGTCAGTAACCTTGAAGAGACAATACTCTGGAGTGTCCATTCATGTTCATACTAACATGCCACACATTGAAGCCGACAAGGCAAGTGCTGCACAAGCTGGCTTCAGTCAGTTTTTTTATCAGAGGAAAATTGAAGAGAAAGCTTGTGTGTTTTTCTTACAGCTGAGTTACAAAATATTAACTGCCAGCTTGATGAGATTAGATACCAGTGTTTATCAAAGCATAGATTACAATGTAAATATGCCTCGCCCATATGAAGCTAATCACTCTCCTACCCAGAGTATCCTGCGGGCAGACATGTCATAATTATGCTAAACAATATGTAAAGCGCACTGAAATCATTGCATTAGGTCAGTCTGTTCTTTTTTCGGAATAGGTGCATTTGAGAAAAGTCTGGTCATGTGATAAGCCTCCACTGTGTGGTAGTGACCAGAGACGGAATAAGGCAGCACAGCATCGTTGAACCTTGGGGGTCAAGGGCAGATCCAGCATTTTTAAAAGGGAAGGGTCCAAAATATGAAAAATTCCCTCTCAGAATCATTTACTGCCTACAACATACCACATTTTGCTTTTAAAGGCCCTTGATCTGCCTATGGGGGTTGTTGGCTTATGTTTAAGAACAAAGCTTCAGAACGGTCAACGTCCTGTCCCCTAACATTGAGAATTTCCCTACTTTGATATGGATCTCCTCAGACGGCACTTCAGCAAATAAGGAACACACACTTTATCACAAATAATAAATAAACTAATCAATAGATGTTCATATTTTATTTTCAGATCTGCCTTTAACAATCATCACACATATTCAAAGAAGGTGCAGGCGTGAGTGAGTGAGTGAGTGAGTTTTACAACACTTTTGTCACTATTCCAGCAATATCACGGTGAGGGAAACCACAAATGGGCTTCACACATTATTCCCATGTCGGGAATGAAACCTGGGTCTTCGGTGTGACTAGCGATCGCTTTAACCAAAAGGTTATCCCACAGCACAAATACTACAGGAGGAAGCATTGCATCAATATTGTCTATGTCAAAATACTAATTTATGGTATGTTAATCTAGACTGTGGCCTTCCGAGCGAAATTGTCCAAAATAAAAATTCCAGATTTATAAATCCTTTGTAATCTGTTATCTGCCTTAACAATACAAAGATGCTCCCAAAAGTAACTGTCTGGATGACAGGCATTTTGGATTAAAGGGGTCTCGACTGATGCATGGAGTATGGAGTTGGTCGTCAAGCCACTTTGAACGGTATTTCACACACATCTGAACTGTTATAACAGGAAAATCTAATAAAAACCGTTTTGCTTTCAAATGTCTAATGAATTCATCAAGGAAAGTAGACGATCTGAGTTCAGTGGGGAAAATATTCCACAAAGCAGGTGCAGCAGCACTGAATGCCCTGTCTCCCATGGCGGTCTTGGTGAATGGTACGGATAACTGGCACTATTTTCTGATCTCAAGGTTCCCACAGCTTGTCACCTTAATAAGAAAGGAAAGCCCACATGAGCATGTTTCCCTCCAAGAGGATGGATATGGTATTAATAAACCAAGAATCATTTTCAGGAGAATTATTGGTTTTGAACCAAAGACGTTAGGACTTTGCGCCCCCACCCACCTACCCACCCCTCCCATAATTGCCGGTCCACAGGGACTGACAGTAACATGAATTACCGGTCCAAGCCTAATTTTACCAGTAAAAAACTGGCAATTAGCCGTAAACGGGAACACTGATTCTATTTTTACAAACATTTATTTCTCGGTGCTGAGGAGCACCACTCAGCATATTGAGCACCTGAGACCACCGAAAGCTTGGAATGAAGACAGTGATACAGTGATCTAGCTTAAGAATAGCTGAAAACTCACAATGACATCAGCATAAGGATTGTCAGTCACGTGTGGGACATTTGGATTCACATTGTATGTCCCACAATATCACAACCTTTCATATGTCACAGTTGTCATGGCACCAGCAATAATCATGTCAACACAGATAATATGTACACGAACTTTCACATTTGCTATTTACAAACATTTCACAATTGCTATACCAAACTAGGCCTGCTTTCACAAATATATCACAGCATATACAAGTCTTGTACATCTATCTTAAAGAATGCGAGTTACAATAATCTTGTCTATAATCACTTTGTGCACATAGGCCCTGTTTTATAAATATATCGAGCATACATGTGCCTTTATTCTGACCAGACTATATATTCTGAATTGCACTTGGTTCAAATTTAAATTAGATTTCCAGAAATGAGATTCACATTTCAAGATATAATTCATAAAACAAAGGTACGTGATATAGCTCCAGAAACTTCCTTCACTTCCTTGAGTGAGTATGGTTTTACGCCGCTTTTAGCAATATTCCAGCAATATCACGGCGTGGGACACCAGAAATGGGCTTTACACATTGTTCCCATGTCGGGAATTGAACCCGGGTCACAAAATTTTCAACTGTAATTGTCTACTACATAGGTATCACTTTGTGTCAGACTTATAATTTTCAAACATGCCATTAATGACAGGTAATCTCTGATCAGTTTTAAATACACTTTTACATGTCTGTACTTCAAGTCAGCAACTTTAGCACGTCAGTCTCATTCACATGTCAGTCTGCATGTTTCACATGCCAATTCTACAAGTTTCACATTTCAGCCTCGTTAACAAGTCAGTCTGCACATTTCACATGTCGGTTTTTCTGAAAGACTGGGATCTCAGTCTGAATATGCTGATAGTTTCACATGTCAGTGTGAACGTTCCACATCTTGATTTGATAGTGCCAAATACCAATTTCATGGTTTCCCATGTCAGTCAGCAAGTTTTAAAACTGTATGAAGAAGTTTAATATGAATCTGATGGTTTCACGTTAAAGTCAGCACACTTCACATGTCTATGTGAAAATGCCATATCTGCAAAAAGTAATCCACAAGTTTCCCCTGTCAATCTGTATGCTTGAGTTAACATAGGCAGGTCAGAAGGATCAAAAGCCACTGTGAGTGGCTTCACTTGTCTGCTAGTTTCACAAGACACTCTGTATGTCTGAATTAACAGAGGCAGGTCAGCAGGACCAAGAGTCACTGTGAGTGGCTTCACATGTCAATCTGTATGCCTGAGTTAACAGAGGCAGGTCAGAAGGATCAAAAGCCACTGTGGTCAGCTTCACTTGTCTGCTGGTCTCACATGTCAATCTGTATGCCTGAGTTAACCGAGGCAGGTCAGAAGGATCAAAAGCCACTGTGGTCAGCTTCACTTGTCTGCTGGTCTCACATGTCAATCTGTATGCCTGAGTTAACAGAGGCAGGTCAGAAGGATCAAAAGCCACTGTGGTCAGCTTCACTTGTCTGCTGGTCTCACATGTCAATCTGTATGCCTGAGTTAACAGAGGCATGTCAGAAGGATCAAAAGCCACTGTGATCGGCTTCAATTGTCTGCTGGTCTCCCATGTCAATCTGTATGCCTGAGTTAACAGAGGCAGGTCAGAAGGATCAAAAGCCACTGTGGTAAGCTTCACTTGTCTGCTGGTCTCACATGTCAATCTGTATGCCTGAGTTAACAGAGGCCTGTGATGAGGATCGAGAGCCACTGTGGGTGGACACAGCTGCTGGAAATATCTTGACTGCATGGCCATTCAGTAGCTCCATCTTCTCACACTGATCATTGTCATCATCATAAGCATCTGAAATGGCCAATCAAGGAAATCCACAGAAACAAAGAAAACATTTTCAAACTTACTCTTGTAAACAAAAGTAGTTGTAAATTTGTCATTATTTAGTAACCTGGTGCTCTCTAATGTATTAATTGGATAAAATAAACATAACCACAATCTGTTCTGTATGTTCTAAATGAATCATATTTAACAAATATACATATATGTTATTTAATTATTTAATTAAACTGCCTTGAGACATAAAAAAATGTTATTGTCAAAAATAATAATGACAACATGACATAGTTTGCATTTTGGTACTCAAGTCAATGTGCATATTTTATGAAGACAAATGAATAAATAAACCCAAATGTGAATTTGCTGCATAAATAATTAATTAAATAAGTGATGTAAGATCACAATTTTACTATTGTAGTCTGCATTGAAAACATCCTGCATAATAAGACGAAAAAATCTTAAAAGAAGCTGTCCTTTGTTTTACTGGAATTATTAGCATCAACTACATGTATAATAAACACTTTTCTCAATTTGTCACCCACTATATTTGGATAACTGACAACCACTAAGCACAGGGATAAAAGCGAAAAGAAACCTCATTCCAAGGTTTTAGTGCTGTGTTTTATAATATGAAATCATGGGTAAGTCATTTACATAAGCTGATGTTCTTTGGAGACTTAGTTACAGCCAGGAAACTGCTCCCAAGAAGTTTCGAAAGTATGGAGATTTGCACATCATAAACGTATATGTTTACTTGTTGAAGCAAAAAGAAAAGGCCAAATGTTCATGCTCAATGAATAGAACCAATAAGTAAACAATTTTTCTTGCTTTTACCAACTACAAATTTTGGCATTTTATCTTTATGACACCGGTACCTAACATTAATATTGTTCTAATGACAGCATACATTAAGTGTCCCTATGATAGCTTACTTTAATATTGTCCTAATGATAGCATACATTAAGTGTCCTTATGAAGGCCGTCATATAGCTGGAATATTGCTGAGTGCAGTGTTAAACAACAGACAAACAAACAAACTTAATGATAGCTTACATTAATGTTGTTCTCATGACAGCATACATTACATGTCCTTATAATAGCTTACATTAATAGTCCTAAGGATAGCATACATTAAGTGTTCTTATGATAGCATAAATTAAGTGTCCTTATGATAGCTTACATTAATATTGTTCTTATGACAGCATACTGTCCTTATAATAGCTTACACTAATATTGTCTTAGTGACAGCATTCATTAAGTGTCCTTATAAAAGCTTACACTAATATTGTTCTTATGACAGCATACATTAAGTGTCCTTATAAAAGCTTACACTAATATTGTTTTAGTGACAGCATACATTAAGTGTCCTTATGAAAGCGTACATTAATATTGTCCTTATGATAGCTTACACTAATATTGTTCTTATGATTGCTTACAATAATATTGTCCTTACGAAAACTTACATTAATATTGTCCTTATCATAGCTTACATGCATATTTCCCTATGATTGCTTACACAAATATTGTCTTCATGATACCTTAAATTAATATTGTCCTCATGATAGCTTACATAATTACCATTAGAATAGCTTACATTAAGTGTCCTAATGATAGCTTACTATATTATCCTTAATGATAGCTTACAGAAATATCATCCTTATGATAACATACATTAATGTTAGCTTACATTAATTTTGGGATTACAATGATTACATAATGGCCCTTATGATAGCTTAAATTAAGTGTTCTTATGATAGCTTACATTAATTTTGTCCTAATAATAGCTTACATTAATGCTGTCCTTATGATACCTTAATTATCTTATAAGCAAATAACTCAACAATCTACAATAAACTTACACAGCATAAACGGAACTTAGCACTATGAAACTGACATTAACCAACGAGTGTAATGAAGCACATAATGAGCCAATATAAACACCACATTTTCCCTCTACACACTGATGCATAGACCACTACACAGCCCTTGACACATGCAATGTACACTCCACACAGCTAATGGTGCATCAGACACACAGCACAAGCCATGAAATCCATACCAGAAGGATGCAATGTGGGAGGATATTGACGAGGGCGTCACGCACAGCCATCACACAACACATAACGACAGATTATAGAGGCAGATCACATGCAGAAATATCACTTCTAGAACTGAGATGTAGAAAAATACATTCCATTCAAATCAGAAGCAGTTCATCTGGTAAAATTTGATTCATCTTCCTCATATGAAAAATGTTATATTTTCATGTCCCCATTTGGAGCCTCACTAAACGAATCGGATTCTGGTGAAGTAATATTTCAGCAAGGATATTTCTGGAGGATCGTGGAGTTTATGAGGACATGTTTGCGGAGTGTTTGTGCGGTTGTACAAACTAGAATGGAGAGGTCTCGGAGGATGAGTGATTGCTGGTACCATAGAACCTGCACCATCACAAGCTTAAACTAATAATCACAACCTACTTTTCACACACAGATTATGCTGTGTTTGTACTTTGAAATCATGAAGTAAAGAGGGTGAACATGTTGAGATAGATTTTTGACCTTAGTTCATGAAAGGTTTGAAACTAACAAGAAATGTTTCTGAAAAGAAATATCATTTTCCCATCCTATCTGATCATCATGCCGCTGCAAACAGTTCTTGTCAGTGCGGGAAATGTTGTCCAACACTGCAGTCAGCAATTTTCAAGTTATATCACAGCCACCTGTAAATAATCGATTCTGAACCAGGTTTGTTTGTTTGCTTGTTGTTTGACGCCACACTCAGCAATATTCCAGCTACATGACTGAGTCTGTAAATAATCATTTCTGGACCAGGCAATCCGATGATGGACATCGTGAGCATCGATCTACGCAGTTGGGATACAATGACATGCATCAATTAAGTCAGCGAGTCTGACCACCCGATCCCGTTAGTTGCCTCTTACGACAAGCATGGGTTGCTGAAGACCATTTCTAACCCAGAATCTTTACAGGACTATGGACCAGGTAAATTGGTGACTAAGAGCATAAGCAAAGGTCAACACCATCAGTAAATGATGACAAGTCACATAGCCAGACCACTCGATCCACATGTTAGTTGGCTTCATGCTATACATGTTCTACTGAAGACCTATTCAGACCCAAAATCCCCCAAGGGTTATGTAGATAATCATAGTCATTTTTGTTTTGTCTCTACACACGTTTTGTCTCATGGTATTAACATTAGTTCTTCTTGATTAAAGTTTGCTGCCACAGCTGCTAATGAGTTTGAATAAATTCTATATCTACTGAGAAAACAAGGATCATCTCCACCATTTGGTGATCAAATGTTTGACTAAGCAAATCAATGAGGTATCACGTTTATAATCACAATATGGCAGTGTTCCCTTGACGCCCACAGAAAGCACACAGATATATGATATAAGAATTGATAGCTTTACTCAAATATTGTAGCTACTATTATGATCTATCGATATCACTTTGTCATTGTCACTGCATTTTGTATTAAGGAGTATTATGGCTACCTACAGTTTGCAACAGATTATTAGCAACAATATAAAATTTGTTACGAATGCACTGCAGAATACAAAATATATTTAAAAAGGTAAGCCACATATATATTATGTATGTAACATGTGCAATGCCTTCCAGTTGAATAGACAGATTGGGGTTTTTATCTAGACCTGCACAGAGGCTGATAATCGGACCCAAGTCTGCAGCAAATGTCAATACAAATTCTCAAATTGAAATTGAAAAAAATCCCAATTTACGTCCATAATCACAAGAATAACTAATGTTATGTTTCTGAAGGTAATTTGTGTATCACTGATAGTCTGTCATACATACCCTGAATGAAATCTATCAAATACACCCTATGCAAGTCTGTGATATTCGGTAAGTCTTAATTACTGCAGTATCAGAGTCTCTTGACTTTTCTGTAAAATATGTTCATTTCAGACTAGATGTTAGTCCATCACTTATAACAGGACCATTACAGAAGAAGAGGCTTCAATGCTTAGTTTTACATAATTACACTGAATAAAATGTTAAATTACCTCATAATTGAGGAAAATAATTTTGAAAAAAATCCTATCTGGAATAAAATTTGAATTTGCACATCGTTTAGAATCCTAGATAAGTCACAGGGGACAACACATGCAAAATGATGCCAAAAAATGAAAAATGCATGACATCATTGACAATTTGAATTTTCACGTGTAGAGACAAAAAAAACTGTAGCAACATGCACACAAACTGTTTGAAGAAATTATTTCAAACAGACAATATGACTCACCATCCTCGTCGTCTTCATCTGGTTCCCCCTCTCCACCATCCATGGCCCCCTCTGGTTCAACGCCTGCCACGGCCTTGCGGATATCTTGTCTGGCCTTGATGCTTGACGACACACTGGGCAGACGGATGTCCAGACGGGAACCAGCAGGGGTACTCACCTGCAGAAGAAACACAACAAACATCACCGACCGGTTCAACTTTAGAGCGATTATGGTTTTACAAACTTTCAGCAATATTTCAGCAAAATTACAGCTGGGGTCACTTGAAACGAGCTTCTCATATTATACCCCACACTCAGCACAGTGGTGACTTAGCATTACACCACTGAAACAAAATAATTTCCATTTTAGAAACAGAACAGAAAATGAACTGCAATTGATCTCAACTGCTTAGTTTGAACTAAATTTGCTTTAATATGTTTTTTGTATGCTTGTTGTTTATCGTCGCACTCAGCAATATTCTAGCTTTATGACAACGGTCTGTAAATAATTGAGTCTGGACTAACCAATCCAGTGATTGCCATCATAGGCATGAATCTACACAATTGGGACATGCATCAAACAAGTCAGCTAGCCTGACCAGCCAATCCCCGTTAGTCGCCTCTTACGACAAGCATAGTCGCCTTTTACAGCAATCACAGGTTGCTCAAGACCTGTTCCACCCCGGATCTTCACAGGTTGAATTTGCTTTGAGAAACAACCCTGGGTTAATAACTCAGCTGATTTCAAATCTCAAAACCTGTTGGAGGAAGGGTAAAGACTTTCAAGAAATTGAAAGCTTTTACTTATGCTCAATGAATACTTTACCTTTTGACTCACACCTACCTTTTGATTGAGAGCATACAGTTTGTTGGTAATGTCCCTTCCCAGCATGGTGTTCATGATGTTGGCAAGGTAGGGTTCTTTCACCAGAAGGTACTCCAGACTGCGACGCGGCCAGAAGATGTAGCGACACATGCTTGCTGCTATGACAGACACCTGGAACTTCTCATCTCCACTTATACTGGACTCAAACTCAGGAGAGTCAATGAACTGCTTGGAGCGGATTGTATGCAGTAGGTTCCTGTTGCTGTATACATTCATTCTGCAAGAACAAGATATGACATATACGAACATGGTATTATATACAAGAACAAGGTATTGTATACTAGAACAAGGTATGATTTACAAGAACAAGGTATTGTGCACAAGAACAAGGTATTTTATACGAGAGCAAAGTATTGTATACAAGAACAAGGTATTATATACAAGAACAAGGTATAATATACAAGAAAAAGGTAATTATGTACCAGAACAAGGTAATGGCTGGGATATATCTAGACCTTCTCAGGGACATATATTCGGTCTGCAGCAAATGAAAGTAAAAATTCCCAATTTGAATTTACCATTCCCCAATTCCTCAGAATTTACAAAAATATGAACTGCAAAAATCCAATTTTGAACAATATCAAGATTTGTTTCCCATTTGACCGCAAAGAGCACTTAGATTGGAATCTGAGATAAATCCCTGAGTCATGTACAAAAACAAATGAATTATATGCAAGAACAACAAGAGCCATCTGCAAGAACAATTGGGGCATTCGCAAGGGGATTTGTCTGCAAGAACAAGGAACCGATCTGTGTAATTTCAGAACTATGAACAAACTGACAAAGCCTGTTGCCACTACTTTTTGCACGTAACTCTTAAGACACTCAGTTGCTGTTTGGATTTGCTTTCACGATTCCAAATGATTGAACCAGCTTCAAATTGTCAGGTAATAGCAATATACACAGAGAAAGGTCGAAACTGAATACCGAATACCGAAACTGAAAGACAATTACAAGCATTGTGTGACTTTAACCAGTCCAAGTCTAGTGAAATTATTTCAGTCCAGTAGGCTCTGCCAATGAAAGTCGACCCATTAACACTAAAACCTATTTAAAATTATGTCAAGTGACAAGTTCGGGCCAATAGACTTTAAGGTTTCCGACACAGACTGTTCAAGGGATAATCATCAATTCATTCTGCTTTGATTTTCGGTGACAAATTGTTATCAAGTTTTAACTGACTTGAACCATGGGCACGATGGGTGTAAATAAGATAAACAATTGTCTTTAGAAAATGATACTGTTGTAATCACATTTAGAGATATTGTAAACTTGTTTCAGATTCAGAATACAAGTGCTGAAAAAGTGACACCTGAACTATGAACCAGTCTACTGTATTTAGCTAGGCCTCTAGTGTGACGAGAGCTCATCCAATTTACTAATGGCTTCACCCAAAAACAAACCACTTTGTCAGTAACGGTTTTAAAAAAAGTTAACCGATATCCTGTTTTTTGGGCAGTATTCAGATTCAGTAACAGCATGAAGGACTTCTGTGTTAATGGAAGGTTTCATGTATATCCTTAAGTAGTCGCTGGTGACAGACATTTCCTCTGTGACTGATGAAAGCATGTTAAACTATACAGGGAAACTAGACCCAGTAGACACTAAAGCATATTTGGTGAATAATTCATTCCTTCTGCAACCAACTCAAATTTCCATAATAAAAACATGCTACAACCACAATGAGACTGGGATGATAGTGACGAAAGCTCTTGTTTGTGTTCATGGTGCACAATCTAATTGCTACTCCAGGGGACACAGAGCAGCCTCTTACACAGAAACAGCATCAGCATCCTTCCAGTGCACATCACAGTGCTCTTCTTAAACAATCCGTATCTGCTTCCATGTAAAGTCGAACAACCAAAGTTCAACATATAACTTCAACAACAGCAACAACAGGCGTCTCTCAGGGCATTACTCATTGCCTATGAATATTCATGATGAAAGTTATGTACTTGTAAACCCATAGTGACATCATCCTATTTTTCTTAAGGTTTCTTCAAATGGTAGAAAGCCCGCAAACTCAATTGCATGTATCCTTGCTAGTATTCTACCATAACTGGTTCATCGAGCACTTGATTGTCTGGTTTGTCTACATGCTGATGTCGCATGTCAGGAGTACTGCTGTGCTGCATCAGACAATACACACTTACCTTTTTATGCAAATTGTACGAATGGGGGGTGCTACAGGTAGGGCAGGACATGCGTACCCTTTTTAGCGAACACCTCGTGTCATCACATATTTTCAATTGTCCATTCATATAATTTCCAGAGCTATTTGCCTTTTATGCCAAGTGAATCGTTTTCGGCAGAAACTCTAAACATTGCCAATCATATTTACATTCCACAATATTTATAAACGTCCTTTTAATATGAATCTAATGTTGATTTTTGCTGGTTAAGAGTCGCGATTAACATGAAAATTCAACCCGTGAAGATCCAGGGTAGAACAGGTCTTCAGCAACCCATGCTTGCCGTAAAAGGCGAATATGCTTGTATTAAGAGGCGACTAACGGGATCGGGTGGTCAGCCTCGCTAACTTTGTTTATGCATGTCATCGATCCCAATTGCGTGGATCGATGTTCATGATGTCAATCACTGGATTGTCTGGTCCAGACTCGATTATTTACAGAGCGTGGTCATATAGCTGGCATATTGCTGAGTGTGGCGTTAAACAACAAAAAATCAAACATGAAAAATCCATGACAAGAATCGAACCTACAGCCTCACATATAATGTTTATCATTGTGATCTACTGTTTTACCAATGAGCCACTGGGACAAGTGCTTCTGGTTAAAATGTAAAACCTCAAACAAATGCAGATGTATTCCAATACAGTGAGTGAGTTGGGTTTAACGCCGCTTGTAACAGTATTCAAGTTATATCGCGGCGTGTCAGCTTAATGTGGGAGGTAACCCCGAAGTGATGCAGGTCTCAGACGTTTACCATTTCGGTGAAACCCACGAGCACGGGTATGATGCTGACAAACCTAGAAACATAATCGGGGCAAAACGGGATTCGAACCCACAATCATAGGTTTCTGGCTTGCCCAAGGGACGAAACTTTGCACAGCGAATCGCGGCGCCTTGGACGACTGGGCCACCCGTGCCCCTGTTTTCCAATAAACTATGAACGTATCCAAAGAACAAGAAAACATACAACATTTTTGTGAAAGCACATAATACAAGGTGTCATACAGGTGTAATGGCCCAACAATTTCCAAGTCCCTTGATGTGATTCAAACCATGGACCTTCTGATCTGAGGTCGGGTCCACATAACCAAAGAGGTTAACCTCGTCAGCAAGCTGAAGGGTAAAAGCAAGTCAGTGTGGCAGAGTAACGCTGCGATTATGTCACAGTGTTTCAGCGTAATGTTGAAGCAGCTCAGTAGAAGTAGAAGGTCTTAACCACTTTGACAGACCTGGAAACAATCAGGGAAAACTGGGATTTAAACCATCAAATATTTCTTTCTGGTACATTTAAGGGTCGCAGCTCTGCACAGTAAATTCCAGTTCGCTGTAGACAACAAGGCCGCCAGGGGCCCTTGTCAGATAAAACAAAAGTTGGATCCCTTTTTTGTTATATCAAATAGCACTTTGATTTGACATCTGAAGCTTCCTTTGAACACTTTATTGTAGTGACTACCAACTGTCTTAAGCTCACCAGTATGCCTCATACCCCGTAGTGAAATGCCTTGGAATTCTTGTACAAGGAGCTGGATCAGCAGCAAATAATCCAGAAAGCCCTTTAATGTGAATTACACAATCTGGCGACAAGTCTGTTGCAGACTGGCTGAAAGGTGCTAGCCTGTATTCAGTTGGTTTGGATAGATGTCCAGCTAAGCTTAAACTTTGAGGTTTCCTTGTACAGCTCCAGCAAATTTAGGAACAGCCACACACATTTCAAGCAAAAGTGGCATTACGGTTACTTTCAAGAGTTATTTCTTGGTAAAAGATCTACTGGTTCAAACATACAATGGAACATGCTGACATGCTGTAATATAACTGAAATACAGTTCAAAGCAGCATTTTCCCAGCTTACTCACTCACTTGTAACATGAAGTGTACCCATGATGTACTCACTGTCCTGAGATGAGGATGCCAAGCTTGTCAGTCTTGGTGATGGACTGTGTGGCATAAGCTTCACCTTCATGAAGATTCATCAGAGTACAATATTCCGGGCTTACAAGTTTCTTGAACACAGACCTGTTGGAACAAATAACAAATGTTACGTTTCACTTGGATGCATACCCAACAATTTGCTTTTTTGTTTGTTTGTTTAACGCCACACTCAGCAATATTCCAGCTATATGACGGCGGTTTGTAAATAATCAAGTCTGGACCACACAATCCAGTGATTGACATCATGAGCATCGACCCACGCAATTGGGACACGATGACATGCATCAACCAAGTCAGCGAGCCTGACCACCCGCTCCCGTTAGTCGCCTCTTACGACAAACATAGTCGCTTTTTACGGCAAGCATGGGTTGCTGAAGACCTACTGTAGCCCGGATCTTCACGGGTTCCCAACAATTTGACAGAACTAAGGGAATTACTCTGTATTATTCAATATAATTGCTTGAACCCCACAGTTGGTGGTGGAATCCACCATATGCATGATTCAGATCGTGATATGTTCAATTAACCCCATGGGAACGTCTTCATGGACATCAATCTGTAGTGGGGCACCACTTCCATACTTGTGAGAGAAAGAAAAGAATCAAGAAATTTAGTTTTTGCAAGTGTGCATAGAATTATATTCCAGCTTACTTTGAACAATTCTCGTGTTGATAAAAGGTCATTATCTTGACACAATCGTTATCGCTCATGTTCTGAGGGGCGGTCGGGTAGCTTAATGGTTAAAACGTTCGATTCCCGACATGTGTACAATGTGTGAAGCCCATGCCTGGTGTCCCCCGCAGTGATATTGCTGGAACATTGCTAAAAGCGGCGTAAAATCAAACTCACTCACTCACTCATGTTCTGAATTACTTAGTAAGACAGGGGAAGTTAGGTAAATTTAGGGTCACAGCAGAACCCTTTTCCAAACAACGATCTTGTATCAGCTTTTATCATATAATGGGTAGGTTTCTCGGCAGCATAAAGCTATAAAAATGATACCTGTTGGGGTCATATGCGGATAGAGATGCAAATATCATAGGTCAAGTACTTTCAGTGTTTATAAACAAACATGATATTGCTCCTGTCATCTGGCGATCGAGTCAGAATTAACCATCGGGAATCTGGAGAAACTGCTGGGATAATTGCTATCATTATCACAAGAATAGTCTAAAAAACAGAAAATCAGTGTCTAACTGTCTAAGTGTTTACAAGTTTCGGCAACTTTAGAGATATAAATTGCGAAACAGTTTTGCGAGGGCACTAGCCAAGTGGGATCAGTTTCCATATCTGTGCTTGAAGACCTCTGCAACTTGGAAGCTTTTCCACGAATTAAAACAGTTGGATTTGGCCGAAATATGTTCTAATTGTTACCGTGTTTCGTTTTGTCGGTGTGTGTACATCTGACTGTAACGTTATAACAGGACAGGCCGACTGTCAACAACGTCTGACTGTGACGTTCACTCTATCGGACAGACCGATGGATTGCCGCGAAAGGCACGTAAAAACAATTTGTGTAGGCAAGTGTTGTTTTGCATATATGTAGTTACGTCACAGTATAAGAAACAGGCTCCAGTTAGAACTGTATCTTTGCAGCTCAAAAATGGAAGAAATGTAGACACCAAGGGTTGAGCTGCTGTTATATTGCTCGACATAATAATGGGAAGTTGACTATTGAGTCAGTGTTAATACCTTGGAACTCTGAGAGGTTCAAACGTGGAGCTGTATACATCCTCCAGTTCCTCACAGAACTTGACAGGTCGGATGCGATACATGAGGAACAGCGTCTGTACACCATTGATCAGCATAAAGGCAAAGTTCCATGAGAAGAAGTCGGGGGCACACAAGATCACCCAGGACCAGATGGACAATAGCAGAAACCCTGAGGAAATAAAACAATATGAAGAACAGATGGACAGCAGCAGAAGAAACCCTGTGGAAGTAGAAGAAGTATCAGAACCGGGTGGACAGCAGCAGAATATCTATGATGAAGTAAAAGCAGTGTCAGGACCAGGTGGACAGCAGCAATAAACCTGAGGAAGAAGAAGAAGTATCAGGATGAAGTGGACAGCAGTAGAAACCCTGAGGAAGTAGAAGCAGTATCTGGACCAGATGGACAGCAGCAGAATATCTATGATGAAGTAGAAGCAGTATCAGGACCAGATGGACGGCAGCAGAAACCCTGAGAAACCCTGAGGAAGTAGAAGCAGTATCAGGATGATGTGGACAGCAGTAGAAACCCCGAGGAAGAAGAAGAAGTATCAGGACCAGGTGGATAGCAGTAGAAACCCCGAGGAAGAAGAAGAAGTATCAGGACCAGGTGGATAGCAGTAGAAACCCTGAGAAACAATGAGGAAGTAGAAGCAGTATCTGGACCAGGTGGACGGCAGTAGAAATCCTGAGGAAGTAGAAGCAGTATCTGGACCAGATGGACAGCAGTAGAAACCCTGAGAAACAATGAGGAAGTAGAAGCAGTATCTGGACCAGATGGACAGCAGTAGAAATCCTGAGAAACCAGGAGGAAGTAAAAGTAGTATCTGGACCAGGTGAACAGCAGCAGAAAACCTGAGGAAGAACAAGAAGTATCAGGATGAAGTGGAGAGCAGAAGAAACCCTGAGGAAGTAGAGAAGCAGACTCCAAGCTCCAAGCAACTCAGGCTTGCAACATTGTACGTAATGGCCAGTACTGATCAATAGATCAAGGGAAAATAACACAACAACTTTATGATTCCAACCAGACCAACAGATCCTGACCCAGCCAACTCTGATAAACAAGTGTTGAGTAGTTACACCATTTGGCTACCAGCGCCCTCACAAATGCACTCAGGAAACAAGAGAATGAATACACAAGAAAAGACCAAAAACCTTAAAGTGCACATGCCACTCTAAGGTCAGATAGGCACACAGACATACTCTTCCATTTTCTGACTGAACAAAATAAAGCTACATGGCTAGATGTTTGAAAATATACATGACACAAAGACATACACTGCTTAAGTGAAATACATATAAAGAGAAATACGGAAAAGTGGTATGTTCTTCGTGACAAGTAAAACAGGAACGACGCTTCCACTTCTGACTTACAACATAAAAATATTATTTTTATTTCACTTTTTTTTTAAACATCAGGATGGCAGATCAATAAACCAAGCTACCTTATGTCATAATTAGAACTCATTCTGTTAAGTTGTTCACTTACCAAACACAAAGAAAATATGCAGAAACAAGGCTCCATATGTTGTGTCTGGTGCACACAAGCCAACCAACACTGCCACATTGGCCAGCTGAAACAGCATATGATTGGTTGGCTCCCAGTTGTTACAACCAATCAGCCTTTCCATCCACATCTCTTGATTGACCACGTTTGTGTAGTTAAGGTCAAGGACAAACTTGAAGGATGAATTCTGGCCCTCAGAGAAATTTGCCTGTAAAAAGATTAAACAAAAGACTTATAAGTCAAAGAAACATAACTACAGTAACAACTCTTGTGATACCAGTTTCGAAAAGCGAAGCCAGATATTGTGATATATTGGGCATTCGTCATTTGGGTCACATGTATTCCAACCAGGGCGGTCGGGTAGCCTAGTGGTTAAAGCGTTCGCTCGTCACGCCGAAGACCCGGGTTCGATTCCCGACATGGGTACAATGTGTGAAGCCCATCTGGTGTCCCCCGCCGTGATATTGCTGGAATATTGCTAAAAGCGGCGTAAAACCATACTCACTCACTCACTACTCCAACCAATATACTTTACACAACAGCACCTAGAAATGTATATAGATACCAGGGCCATGAGTTTCAGTGGAAAGTGAAGAGTTACATGTGCATGTACTGTTCAATGTGTACACAATATCATTTTAATGGAACTTGAGTAAACTGCTTGGTAAAAGAAAATGTATACCCATTTTTGATAGTGGCTAAAAATCAAACAATCAAGAAAGGTTATTTAATGGTGATGTATTTGATACGGGTATCATAGTTGTTTTTTGGACCTTAAGGTGTGCAGTTTTGTAGCGACTGTTTTTAGCCTTGTAACATTTTGATAATGTTTGCATATTTATTCATATCCACATTTCTAACATATACTTTCTTTTGTCTGGCAGTTCATTTGGCTGTGGTTTAAGACCTGCCTTTAGTTTTTGTAAAATTCAGTGAATAATAAAAATGTACCTTTTAATCCCATTAACTTCTGTCTATTCCCTGTTTACTAAATAGTCTTGTGCATGCTGGTCATCATCCAAATATTTCTGAAAACATACTGAGTGAGTGAGTGAGTGAGTGAGTGAGTGAGTGAGTGAGTGAGTGAGTGAGTGAGTGAGTGAGTGCGTGCGTATGGTTTTACGTCGCTTTTAGCAATATTCCAGCAATATCACAGCGGGGGACACCAGAAATGGGCTTCACACATTGTAGCCATGTCAGTGCAAAACTTTGAGTTTATTAATAATGTACATAACTTTTGGAAGCCATGAGTTACCGCTCACTATAACCGAGTTAGCGCTATTTCGAAGGGTGCATTAGCGAGGAAACACTGCAATTCTAAAATTTCTTAAATTTCTGACCGCAAATGGTACGGGTACAGCACTTAACTCATGTGCAAACAAAGATTCACAAAGTAATATTGAACAGTTTACGAGTTATGTTCCGGTCTCTCTGACAACTTGTTGCCTTGGGGGAAGAAAAGGGACCATTCCTGGATCTGCCACATATAATGATCACCAAGAATCAATAATTGTCCAGTACATATGCTTACCTGTCTGTGTGACAACGTCCACTTCATATTGATTTCAACAATGCATCTTTGAAATGATGCAATGAATTGAAAAAAACCCACAATGATTCCCTACAATATTGGAACAACATGAGATGCCAAAATAAAACTCGTATTAGTCATCCAGTTAGGAATCTATTTTAAGTCTTTTAAATCTACCAAAGGCATTAGTTCAAATACCAAGCAATTGTTAACAGCAGCAGCCGCAGCTGTCTCTCATCTCTCAAACTTGCTCTGAAATGTTCTTAATATATAGGTTTCTAATGTGTTGCTTCGGCAACATTGCGTTAGTTGCAAAATGTGGACATTTGGGAATTCAATTAGCCAAAGTGCAGAGATTTAAAGAATGTAATCATGTCATGCTATAATGCAATCAACAGTTCCCTTTTGAGACAATGAAGTGCATGAAAGTAATTTTGTTTTAGTTTTGAATTTACGTGTAATCCTATACCAAGTTATTATTTGAGACGATAATGGAGTTTTCCCAACATGACATAAAAGGCATATCACTTATCTTAATGAGGTTGTCAAAGTAACGGACAAATTTAAACAGCATATTTACCAAACTAAAGTAGATGGCCAACAGGGAATAGAATTTAGCTCACCTGACTCACATAATTGCCCCCGTTTAATTCACATTCTAGCTGTGAATTATATAGAGTTTAATACACGAGCAAGTATTTTGATGTCCTTATTATTTATTATCTTTTTTATTAAAAGCAACGAGATAAATCAAATTCGTTTACCCAACGACAACTAAATGTAGAATGACGCAAAGGTCGCGTACATATATCATATGAAAATACAACAAAATAGATGCCTTTCGCCAGTATTCAAATAATAACTGACAAAAGTGTCGCTTGAAAATGCATTTAAGAAATGATGTAAAACCATCTTTTGACGATTAAACCTTCCTGTCACACGTGATCTCAAACGTTCAAAACACTAGGCCAGGAAAACTGTGTTTTTTTGTTTGAGGTGAAGGCGAGCAAGGGAACTAACTACAAGATATAAATAAAGAAGAACAAGGAACTGTGGCATGTACAAACGGACTGTCTACTCATCAGACGGAATACTGATGATGGGAAAGTTAGCAATGTGTCGACGTTTTGCGTCTGACCCAACATTGATGTGGAAGACCCCACTATGCATTGAACAGCCAAATATTGTGTGGACAAAATCAGATGACATGGCTCCACCTGTGTTGATGACACATGTAAGTTGTGCACTACTTTAGGACGCAACTCTTTGTGGTGTGCATGACTGCATGCCAAACCGTTTTCTTTCTTTTTTTGTTGTTTAATGCCGCACTTAGCAATATTCCAAGTACATGTTATTTCACAAGAAAATCCAAAAACCCGCTATATATGTTCGTCGTCCGTTAATTGTTAACATCTCATTCAGCAATGTTCCAGTTTTATGACGTCGTTCTGTAAATAATTGACCCTGAACGAGTGATTAACATCATGAGCATCGATCTAAGCCATTGGGGTACAATGAAATGCATCTACCAAGTCAGCGAGCCTGACTACCCGATCCTGTTAGTCGCCTCTTACGATAAGCTGGATACCTATTCCAACCCGGATCTTCACAGGTCGCATGCCAAAATGGAAGGTATTTAGCCACCAATGTATTGTGGCTTGGGGATTACTATTGCCCAAATGATGACCACACCTCATCTAATTCCCTATCTGAGTTGCATTTACCATCTCTCTATAATAGAAGTATAATAGAAGCCATGTTGCGGTCTACTATATTTTTTAATATCTGTATTGCTGTAATTATTGGGTGTATGAATAAATGTTTTGTGTAAAAGATATGTCTTGTGTCATATTTATTCCTAGATTAAGAGTTTTATTTTTACGAAACAGATTGTCTCGTTAAAAGGAGACTTTTATATTCCGTAATATTTTGTAGCAAACATAATGAAAGAAAGCGGTGCGACCGGTGCGAGGTTTACCTGACCAATGAAAATCCATCTAGGGTTAAGTACACATGTGCTACAACAAATCTTTATGTGACCATATGGGATAATAATATCATACACAACAACTGATTGTTGGCTAGCAGTGCTGGACACCATTGGTCATAACTAAATAGTGTGCTGATCATTTTTGGACAAGTGGTTATGTAAAATAACTACTTATGGGAACAAAACCAACTTGTCGGCCTAGATTGTTACTAGTCTTGGACCTACGGACTAGTGTCTGTGTCTATCCCATGTTAGGCAAATAAACAAGATTCATCCCACCAGTGTGGAGCAATTCGGAGGAAAATTCTTCAGACTGTTGTAAAAACATTACATTGTTGCCATGTGTTTTCTTTTAAAATATTCAGTCTGATATTTTAAATTAAATTGTATCTGGTCTAATCTCCAGACTAAATCCCAGGCCCCCTCAGAATATCAAATATGCAGTCCTTTATGTCGTGGAATGATTTCTGCAACAGCGAAACTTTTGGCACCCAAACCCATCAACTTTATGGGCTACCCGTGAAGATCCGGGTTAGAATAGTTCTTCAGCAAACCATGCTTGCCGTAAAAGGCGACTATGCTTGTCGTAAGAGACGACTAACGGGATCGGGTGGTCAGGTTCGCTGACTTGGTTAATGAATGTCATCATTGGCCTAGACTCGGATTATTTACAGACCGCCATCACATAGCTGGAATATTGCTGAGTGCGGAGTTGAACAACAAACAAAACAAACAAAAACAATAATGTGCATCAACCTCATCACTACGTCAATCAAAATCACTGAACAATATGGTTTTCTAATTGAAAAATACCATCTATAGGATTATATTGAAATACCCATTAGTAAAATCTTTCACAAAGTAGACTTGGTGAATTGCCACATACTATGACATTTTAACATAATCTCAATCATATTTCAAATGATGACGAAAAAAAGAAACTTCAAGGCACAACAGACAGAATAATGCACATTCAAATTCATGATTCAACTTCTAATTCCTGAGGATCAGAAAAGAAATACAAAAACTTACCACTAATCTGCATGACCCTGTTTAGTTACATGGCAATACCATGTCACAGTATCAGATGCCAGGGCTGGCAGCACTCCACAAAATGTCACCTGGGTTGCTTGCAGGATATTTCTGCTTTTCATTTGAAGCACAGCTCTGTGACATTAACAGCTGATAGCCGGCTTCAAAGATGACTCAGAGTAAACATCTAGAGATATTTTTAAATGTCTCGGTTGTCATGGCAATTGTACTGATAAATCCTAAATAGCAATACGAATGTGGAATTAGTTTGGCAATACAGGTGTGGTGTATGTGTGTGTGTGCGCGTGTGTGTGTGTGCGTGTGTGCGTGCGTGCGTGCGTGTGTGTCTAGATGACCCTTCCCTTATGCTTGGCATATTTTACATGACCTTCCCCATGTCCTTGTACAGTTTATTATGACCTTCCTGAAAAGACAAAATGTCAAAGAACTTAATATTATATTATAAACTATCCATTTCCTTATGTACCTCTCGGAATATTTGTATATTTTTATGACCCTCCCCTAGAGACTGTAATATTTTCCAGTGACTCCTCCGATTGCCCCTGACCATTCCACCCAAAAATAAATGACCAGACCCTGAGGGTGGTTGGATCATGTGTTTCTGACTTGAAGGAGTGACGTCGACGGTCTTTGGTCACAGGTTGTTACCATGTTAATTACCGCCCTTGTTTATCATATCATGGCGGGTGTTATTGGTGTGATAAAACAATTAGATTACTTGGTCCCAAGATCCGATAAATATGTTTGTTTGTTTGTTGTTTTACGCTACACTCAGCAATATTCCAGCTATATGATGGCGATCTGTAAAATGTAAAGTCTGGACCAGACAAGCCAGTGACTGACATCATGAGGATCTAACCATACAATTGGGCTATGATTACATGCGTCAACTGAGTCATAAATAAACATTTTGCAGGTGTTATTGAATATTTGAATATGAACCTCCGGATAATGCCTTCATTTCCAAATAAAATGTATAAGCATTGAATATTCAATAACACCTGCATATCTGAAAACACCTAATATTTTTCCCATAAATTAAACATCTGCTACTTCATTACCAACATGTGAAAGCAATTCTGTTCATGGCTCTTTGTGAAACTGGTCTTCAAAGACATGCTCCTTTGTTGCTGCACTGGGTAGAGTGTATAAATCTACTACTTTTAGCCAGCAGTATTCTAGGGTTTTCTTCCGTGCTTCACACCTGTTATTTTTGCTCAGTACCCCATGTCAAATCTTGGTTGGAATATATGTCTTCAGCAACCTATGCTGGTCATAAGAGGCCACTGAATAAATAGGGTGGTCAGACTTAGTTGATGCATGTCATCACATCCCTATTGCATGGGACCCGTGAAGATTCTGGGGTAGAATAGGTCTTCAGCAACCCATGCTTGCCCTAAAGGTGACTATGCTTGTCGTAAAAGGCGACTAACAGGAACGGGTGGTCAGGGTCGCTGACTTGGTTTGATGCATGTCATCGATCCAAATTGCGTGGATCGATGCTCATGATATTAATAACTGGATTGTCTGGTCCAGACTCGATTATTTACAGACCGCCGTCATATAGCTGGAATATTACTGAGTGCGGCGTTAAACAACAAACCAACAAACCAACCAATTGCATGGATGAATGGATAATTTTCCACCTTTAAGTGATACAAGTCCCTCTTGGCACTATTATCACATTGAGGGAGATCCTAGTTAATGTATTATTAGCATTGAAAATATCTTATCTAAAATTTCCATATTTGATGCATAGAGTAGCCAGGTCCCGAAAGCACCCCTAACCGCCTTCCAGAAAGAAAATGGGAGTAATTTTAATATGCACACCCGACTAAGAACACAAAAAATACATGACTGTCCACATTTTTTGTTTATTTTACAGATTGTTAATTGTTTGTTAGTTGTTTAATGCAGCACTCTGCAATATTCCAGCTATATGGCGACAGTCTGTAAATAATCGAATCTGGAGAGACAATCCAATGATTCACATCAATAGCATCGATCCACGCAATTGGGATACGATAACTTGCCTCAACCAAGTCAGCGAGCCTGGCCAAACGATCCTGTTAGTCGCCTCTTACGACAAGCATAGTCGCCTTTTACGGCAAGCATGGTTTGCTGAAGAACTATTCTACCCCGGATCTTCATGTGTCACAGATTCTTTAACAGAAACCAACAGCATAGCATGGGTATATAACGACCTACTAATCATTGTAGAAAATTGTAGCTTCACCAACATTTCAACTAAGTTTGTACTGACAAAAGCTCAATCTCTGACAACCGATCAATCACTGACGACCGCTCAATCACCCAAAACCGCTCAATCACTCACAGCATGGTCATGTAACTTGTTGTGTGTGGTGTCCCTTCCCTCAAACTATCTCTTTTAGTACAAAACATCAATATTTCTCCAATTTCTGAGACACTGGCTTTTTTATCCTAAAAATGAACATCAAAAGAACAAAAATGCCTTACTGTTCACACTGGAAATAAAGAGTGATGGAAATCCCATGATTATAAATTATTTCAATAAAAAGACATCAATTAGTTTAGGCTTCACATTGTAAGCCTAAACTAATTAATATCATATTACCAGCTTATTGCTACCCGACACCCTACTGTGCACATATCATCTTGTCATAAGCTCAATATGGTATATTTTTTTTTATTGTTTTCGACAATATCTGCGAAAATGCCCACGTCTTAAATCACCAGCCAAACTACAAAAAGGTAGCGATTGTTGGGTCTGGATTATCTCCCTTCGTCTTGACATGTTCACAGAGCCAACCATACACTGCAGACATTGTAGCAATATCGACCAAAGCAACAGAGAGTTTTGTCCAGCAGTACAACTATAAACGGGGACTAGATTTTGGCAACTATATATCTGTCTGTACTATCAGTTGCCATAATAAAAGAGTGACAATGTCTCAGTTGCACACATACCCCATTTTACAACCTCTCGCCCGTGAGTGGCAACAAGCACCATTACCAGGTGAAAATGTCTACTTTAATGGATGAGACAAGGCGAGGTGAGGTGAGGTGAGGTGAGGCGGGATGAAATGGAATTTAACGTTGCCGATGCACTAAGTCACTAACAATTAAAAGCTTATTGAATCCATTAATTTTCATTTTGCCCAAGCCACACATTGAGCCTCAATCTATTCAAGGCTTCTTATAACCACAACACATGCTTCAATTATCTCTTATTCGTACTTTTGTGTCATTCATTTATACTTAAAAATGCAGCTACAAAAATGTAAAAAAATGGATGACACAAAAGTACGAATTAGACATAATTGAAGCATGTGTTGTGGTTATAAGAAGCCTTGAATAGATTAAGGTTTTTCAATTTATACTTTAAAATGCAGACAACGTCTCCATAAAACATGTAACATCAACGATAATAAGGAAAATATTGGATAAATGTTGATATTAGCCAGCTGTTAACAAATCTTAAATACAATGGACGAATACGATGCATCAACAATAGCATAATTTAACGTGATAACGCTGTATAAACATAGTGTAATACCCACTTGTAGATGCGATATTGAAGGGCACCGATATGGCAAGATTTCTCAAAACACAGAGCTAGTTTTCCCACTCAGAAGTCTAAATCTGGTCGATGTAACCAAAATACAATAGTTGTCTTGGCAACGATATCATTAGCTAATATGACACACTATTGGCGAACTAGCGGTCGCTATTCGTGAATAGCATGAATCGTGATCAGTTTGCTCTTTCTGAAATAAAATAATAATAATTTACTACGGTTATATATTTAAACGGAGATGATAACCTTGGCTCTTCTCGTACTCTATACGATTGCTACCGATGGTGCCAATAGTGATTCCATGACGATCCTGGAAATGCTTCGTAACCTACCTTGCCGTTATAGACTGCCATGTTGGATGTAAGTAGCATACGGAACTTCTCTCGTGTATTTCACCTATCCCTGCTGACACTCGCTTATTTGCACGTACAGCACGTGTTGCATGTGATTCAGGAACATGGAATCAACAAGTTCCCGGTGATACTGCACATGCGCAATGAATGTCAAGGCTCAACAGGTGGTTGTTTTCAAAGACGTTATTCACAGCGAGTTATTGATCGCGTTTTCTCTTAAGAAGGATGCGCACGTAAAATATCGAGGATAACTGCTGAAAATCCGATTTCGGAAACAAAATTAAAATTAAACAGCCCGATACAACATCGAAGTTGGTATAAGTTTTACCGCATTATCTTAAACGTAAAACGATTAACATGTGATATTTCCGAAACTGTTTTGTTTGTTGTTGATTTAACACCGCACTCAGCAACATTCCATCTATATGACTGTGTAAACAGTAACGTCTGGACCAGAAAAACCAGTGATTGACAGGAGCTTCATTCTACACAATGTGAATACGATGACATGCATCTACCAAGTCAGCGAGTCTGACCACCCGATTCCGTTTAAAAATAGCCGCCTCTTACGACAAGCATGGGTTACTGAAGACCAATTCTCACCCGGATGTAACTGGGGGTCCGAATTTATAAATTGTCAAAGAATTATTAGTTACTGTGTATATATTACATATGTATACTGAACCGCAAACGAAACGTCACCATGGATAGATATATGAGAAACCTTTTTTGTCGAAACGCTGTAAGCATACTTTGAGACATATTAAAAAGATGAAACTTGGCAAAACTTATCATCAAGGTTGAAATTAAAGTGACAAATGTCTCTGAGAAAATGGCATCACAAGTTAGTATTTCGTGTGTCCGCCATGTGGATTGATGACTGCCGTGCAACGTCGATACTCGTACATGGAATGGATGAGGCGGTCGATGAAGGCCCTAGGCACTTGAGCCCACACTCTGGAGGAATGCCTGACGCAGTTCAGCTGCAGTTGTCGGCGTTGGTCGGACGTTATTCAGCCGTCTTTGAATCTCGTCCCACAGGTCCTCAATGGGATTTGAATCGGGACTGAGGGCAGGCCACTGCATGGTTCTGATGCCATTCTGCTGGAGGAAGTCTCTTGATGTTCTCGCAGTGTTGGCACGGGCGTTATCATACTGAAACTCGTGGTTGCTGCGACGTGCCTAATGAGGTATGGCGTGAGGTCTAAAAACTTAATCAATGTACCGAGCTGCTGTGACACCATTGGCTCCCCCTGGACCGATGTTCTGTAAGACCACATGGCCGACCCTCTGTGCAAGACCGATTTCACCCCACACCATGATGCTCGGACCACCCCACGAGTCTCTCTCAACAACACAAGCATCCGAATAATGTTCTCCACGGCGTCGCCAGACTCTCTCTCTCTCTCTCTCTCTCTCTCTCTCTCTCTCTCTCTCTCTCGCTCTCTCTCTCTCTCTGTCTCTGCCATCTGCTGTTGAGATACAGTAACTGCTCTCGTCTGAGAAGAGGACTCTTCTCCACTGCTGGTGGCGCCAATGCTGGAGCTGTGTTGCCCACTGAAGACGGTCCCGGCGATGACGTGGTGTCAGAATTGATCCTCCGTGCGGCCTGTGACAGTGGAAGTGTCTGCTCGTCAATCGTCGACGCACGGTGTCCGCACTTATGTGTCGCTGGTGTGTCCCCATGGTCTGTCGAGTAGTAACCGCAGCAGTAACAAAGCGATCTTGAAGATGCTGTCGCACAATCTGACGATCCTGACGTCGGGTGGTAACACTTGGTCTACCACTACGTTGTCGGTCATCTGTAGTGTTGGTGGTCTGGTACCGTTGCTGGAGCCTGTATATGGTCCTTACGTGGACTTGAAAATTTTAATGCATTGGCTACTTGCCGGGCGATTTGTCCAGCTTGCAACCGTCCAAGGGCTTGGTGTCGCTGATTTCTTGTCAATCTTGGCATGTGGTAGCAATTAAATAACGAATGAATTTGCTTGTCAAATGTCATGTTGATTTGTTAAGAGGAATAAATGATTATATGTCTGGTGTAAATTAATTTTGGGACTTTGAGTATTAAGATCACGAGGGACAGCAAGACAAATCATGAATCCGAGTTACGAGTAGGATCTTCCATGTATTACCCATGTTCTTTTTCATATCGTCATATAAACACCCTTAAAGATACTCGGTACGTCAGGTCTTCAGCAACCCATGCCGTAAAAGGCGACTAACGGGATCGGGAGGTCAGGCTCGCTGACTTGGTTGATACATGTCATCATATCCCAATTGCGTGGATTGATGCTCATGATGTCAAGCACTGGATTGTCTGGTCCAGACTCGATTATTTACAAACTGTCTTCATAAAGTTGGAATATTGCTGAGTGAGGCGTTAAACAACCAACAAACAAAACGTCATATAAAATCAGGGGGGGGGGGGGGGGGGGGGTGGCCTAGTGGTTTAAGCGTTCGCTCGTCACGCCGAAGACCCGGGTTCGATTCCCGATATGGGTACAGTGTGTAAAGCCCATTTCTGCTTAAATTCTATCATCAAAATAAGTATGATCATCTCTTGCAAATGGTAACCAAACACGTTTTCCAGGAATGTGCCCGTTAATATAGTTTGTCACTATCAAATAGTGATTATACCTGGTGTTCGCCAAAAGGTAAGGGTTTACTGCCATACTGGTGGCATCCAAAAGAAACACAAGCAAAGACAAATCATTTATTTACCTGAACGTATGGTACAAGTCAAAATAGGGAATTCATTCGGACATCGTCTTTGTCACTGATGCGTTAAATTGGGAAATGTCCTCCACGTGTCCACGATAAAACGTTTTGAAAGCTTTACTGGCTCCTTGAATGTTGTAATCTTCATCAAACAACTTCTAGGATGGCACAGGAACACCTTGGCCCACTGGCACAAAGCGAATTTAGCGCTAAGACTAATGTAAGCCTATGTTAAAGTAGGGGAATTACGATCATCTTAGCGCTAAGATCGCTTTGTGCAAGTGGGCCCTGACGTTCAGTAAAGAATTAGCAGCATCGGGAGAGACTTCTTCATCAGATGATAGAGAGTCCAAATGACGACCTATATTTGTGTTTGTTGGTTTTGAGACACAGTGTGATAAAAGTAATCAGCAGCCCGGATTCCCCACCGCCATCGTGTGAGATCTTAGCGCTAAGACTATAGTAAGCCTATATCAAAGTATGGGAGTTACGATCATCTTACGTTCGTTGGTAATAGAGGCTCATTTAGCTTTCAACCCCTTAATGTTACGACAGTGTTCAGTTTGTACCTGTTGCTAGCAAGCTTCACACGCTGTCCACCTTTCTGTCAATTTTAAAATTCTATTTTCTTATGGTTTGCCATGCTCAGATCAATTACATTCATGTTGGATATATATATATATATATATATATATATATATATATATATATATATATATATATAATATTATTTATTAGCCATTATCAATTTCCATTTAGTGCTCATCTCCATGTCTGCACAACAAATGTATTTCCTATTATGAAAGGCAAGATTTATTTAATATTTAAATGAAACAAAACGCTGATGCTACGTTTTTCATCCAGTGAAGGCATTTGATAAATTGATAGGAATAAAGTTCAGATATGTGTTATTACAGAAGGGTATTCATGGTAAAATGTATAATGTTTTAGAAAGCATGTGCAGAAATGTGCGTGCTTGTGTAAGCTTAGGAAATTCGGTGTTAGGCAAGGCTATATGCCTAGTCCTGTACTTATGATATTTTTCATTAACCAGTTGGCTATTGATATGATGGAAAGTGAAGCCAATGGTATCTTTGTAAATGATGTGATTTAGGTCATCAAGATGTTGTTGTTTGCAGATGGTATTGTTTTGGTATCCGATTCAGTTGTTCAACTACAAAAGAAGCTATTATGAGTCTAACGTTTTTGCCAAACGTGGAATATGGAAGTAAATTTAAGTAAATCAAGAGATATTTTTATAGGCGATGCAATTGAAATTTTTCTGATTAATCTACAGTTTAAATTTCTACTGGAAATACCACTGTCAATGTGTGCAGGATTGTACTCTGGGCCACGGGTCCTCCATCACTGAACTACAACTGTGTGTGTGTCTGTCATTACTACAATCTTAGCGGAGTACACCACTTGCGTGAAGGGGTGCAGGGAATAGTGTATACATCTATACCAAAACAATAACTTCTTTTAACATTCGCACACCCAACCAAACATTTCAGCGGGTGAGCTACCGAAACTACCACAGATTACATTTACTGTAAGCCGATGGCATCGATCACGTATTACATTCTGTCACAAAATGGACGACTGCCATAGGATAATCAATTATTGATGAGTTTTGTTGCATATCGCGTATTTTGGCGTATCATACAATATATGATAAGAATCGACATGACCACAGATGTTTCCATAAAATTACAGTCACTGCGTAATGCTCGGTATCACATAATGGACGGTTCCCTTACGATAATCATTAATTTATGTATTTCGTTGTATCTAGCGAACTATTGCGTATAAAACTAACATAAAGCACATTTATATATCATTATAATCGTTGACTTGTTGACTCAACAACGTATCATCCAGACTAAGTCTTTTTACGTAAAAAACATATTTTGAATGTTTTGTGTATTTTATTCTTGAAACGTCATCCGCCAGTTCTACAAGAGTGTCCTTTATTGTATCTGGACCCAAGTGTAGAAGGAGGACACACGAGTGTAGACACTGGGGTAGCTGCCAGAGCAGGAGCTGATACCCCATGATGTGATTCCAGTCAACGTATTACCGCATACCAGCGGGCCACCACTGTCACCCTAAAACCGAAAGTAACATTAATCAATACATATAAAGTAAACATGGTTTTAATATATCGGGTGCATTGGCAGTTTGCGTATCGCCGTTCGGATCGTAGCTCGTCCTCTCGGTCAGTGGTGAGTCTGGTCAAGAATCGATCATTTGCAGGACGCCGTGACACAGACGAATTTTGCTACTGCATTACATTCATTCTATCCATCAATCCCTCCATCCCTGCACCCTTCACTCACTTTGAAACAGCATTTGAAACTATAAGAAAATTTATAACGATGGCCAAAGCACAAAGTAGAGTGACGGTCTGAGCGTTGGCTGACCAGGGATTACGAGGTTTGTATAGTATCTACGGAAAT